ATTACAGGTACTTAAACAGAGCTTTTACTACTTAATGTTCCATTCCAAAAGGATAACACCAGTGTTTGTGTAATACTGCCCAACAGTCTTATAAAACTGATGGCTACTCCAAACTTTTCTCAGGTGTAATCCTACCAACATGCCAGCCTCGGCATATTGTGCATTAGGGCAGAACTCCAAACAGCCTTCACTGGGAATTCTATCATCTCTACCAGCAGCAGCACAGATTTACATAAGAGTTGAAAATGTAAGCAGCTTTTTATCCTCTCATTTTCTCCTGTCTATCCTCATGTACTCATCCATACCTCCTCGTGTGGCTGGGAGACGTGATGACTCCTCCACAGCTTTGAGATGGGGCAGAGAGTCTTGGGACTAAGTTCACTTTATATAATGCTTCTCTGTGGAGAAGTTGAAAGTTTTGGACATACCTGGTGTCACTGTGTGGTGAAGTGCAAGGAAATTAATCCTTGTGAAGGCAAAAAGAGTAAGCAGCAGGAGCGCTGAGTGCACAGGGTAAGTGCTGATCCTTTCTATGGGATGGATTTTGGTATGGCTGCTTCTCTGCTTCTGGGAGCGAGCCAGCTTTCTTCTCAGAAAGACAAAGCACTTCAGGAAACCTCCTGAGCTCTGATCAGAAGTTTAGCAGGGAAAGAAAATGACCATCACTGGACCGGAAGTCAGGAAATCAAGATGTGGGGCATGGAGCAAGACTGAAGATGTCAAATTTTGCCATTTTCACAAAAATAACAAAAATACACCTGTTGCTTTGTTTCAGAAACAGAACTGCCTGTCACCAGTACAGAAGGCTGGCGAAACAGGTTAAACCTTCATCAGCAGTTACAGAGATCTGACCAAACCCACAAGGAAAGATACAGACCAATGGTGCCTGGCCCCCGAGGCCCCAGGTCGCCTTGCTCTACATTGGCTGGAGAACTTGGGAAAAATGGCTGCTTCTGATCTCACTGGGAACGTTTTTGCTTCTACAAAGGAGTAGATCTGCTGGCAAAGGGAGTAGGATAAAAAGCTCCCTCTTTAACTTATCTCAAGCCTCTCATTAAAGCTGCCAGGAATGGTACAGAAAATTGGCTTACAGTGGCTACACAGCCACGGCTGAGGGCTGCTGCCTGCTAAGCAGCAGTGACTCTCCCCAAGCTGCCAGCCCTCACGTCCCTGCATGTTGAAAACCAAAGAAGGGAAAGTAAATTAAAAGATGGTGAGATGATGAGAGAACTAACAAAGGCTGATGAGGTTGGCGAAGGTAAAGCCCAGGGCAGCACCCAAAGTTACTGTCATTGAACCTGAGGCAAGGGTCCAATCAAAAGCCAGTCACATTAAGGGGGCATGAGAGGTATCTGAGGTGAGGAAGAGTTTTGTTAAAAGCTTAGATCTCCTGCATTTATAGCCTCCTTCTCTTCCCTTGTCTCATGACAGAACTGGTAGCTCTGTGCATCTAGGGATGACATCTTGAAGCTATGCACCTGCCCTCCCCAGACTGCTGTACCACCACATGCATCAGCAGAGTCCCCCATTCTAATCCTTTTCAGAAATCTTAACAATTGCCATCACTGAGATGTTTATAACCAAAGAACTCATCATCTAAGTGTCAAACTCACTCTCAGTGGAAGATTCTTTTTTCACCTCCTCCCCCCTCCACACATACGTATTTATTCCCCTAACACCAACACAGATGCACTCACATATAGATATCAGTAAGTGGCTCTGCTCTGTATATTAAAGCCTCTTTCTGGACTGGAATTAATCTTGGCAGCTGTCTGACAGAAGAAACTGTGTGGGAGGAAAATGGTTTTATCTAAAACTTGAAAGAAAGCAAAATAATCTTAGAACAAACTGTGTTTCAACTCTTGCTCCTTCAGTGGAAGATTATTTACTAACAGAAAATATCCAACAACAGCAAAAATACAAAATTGTAGCTTTAAAAGGTAACTAAGGACCGTGTATTTTTTCTTTCCATTTATTTTTGTGGTCACTTTTCAAAACATGTATTAATAACCCATCCTAAGCTCTCTATAGGAGCCAACAATCCAAATCTTTTTTGAAAATTAAAATGAACGAAATCCCCATGGCTTTCTTTTAGCTGTGGTGGAGCAGGAAAAGGCTCTTGCTTCAGCCTGTCCCAATCATTCTGTCCTCACCTTCATACTGATGTCTGGTCCCATCCTACTGTGGCTCCTCTTGGGCTTTATGTCACTCCTGGCCCTTATCCCCTGCTGTTTCTACTTCCCAGTTGCCCATGACTGCAGATCATTGCAAGGACCATCCCACTGCTTGAAACCTTCAAAGAACAGCAGGTTCTTAAGTGAAGTTTCCCAAAGCAAACCAATATTAATGGCTAATCTTTCGGTCTGACAAATTACAGCTGAAACCATTAATAAATAAAGGCAGATGAAAATGCAATTTCTCATGGTGAGTACCAGTTATCTTTCTGCTATGCCTTGTGTCATAAACAGTTTTAACATGGAAAAATATTAAAGAGGCCTTTTGTTTGTTTTCCAAAATCTATTTGGCCTCAATGGTACATAAGGAAAATAACAAAACACAGGTGCACTTGGAAATTATGAAAACTTGCAACTGATTACAAAAGAGGGATTTCCAAACAAACCTCTCCTAGAAGGTTCTCCGCATATCAGAGACCCTACTTTCAAAAACAAAACGGCCTCCATTTGAAATAGTTCAGCTCATTCTGGCATTTGCCATCCTGAGAGCGAGAATCCTTGAGAGGAAACCAAAGGCACACTGCTTTCATGAACCTTCATTTTTCCCTTAATCAGTTCAACAGCACAACACATGACACTACTATGCGTGCCTTCACGTGCTGCCAGTACTGCTTCAGGCCTCAGTGATACTGTTCTATAAAATAATGTCAAATTAATCATATTTGAGGCTGTTCCTCTGAATACATATTGGATCTTTTCAAGGAAGTTATCTTAATAACATTCCACTCCTGCCCTCTGGAAAGCAATGACTTTTATCATGGGACGGCTCTGTATGCTTAGCATATCTCCAAATTACTTTCGTAAAAACTACAGTAAATTTTATGCATAAAAGCTTTTTGAAGCATTTTAAAAGACAAGTAGAGCATGAAGATGATGCAGTAACCTGTTTGCATAGTGCTCTGCCATCCATCTCTCCAGACTCTTGAAAAACCGACGTGGTTCCTCAAGGGACTCCCTTGATTAAAGAACATTAATTAATTGAGTGAACATCTGTGCTGTTTTTCAACTAATAATTAAGATTAGTGAGGAACTGTAATCTCTTTAGAAGTGAAAAGTATACAGAACAACTGCAGCCCACTATCTCACAGAATTTGGGTAGGGCTAAGCAACTACGACATTTGCCATAGTCATTCCCAAGAGATTTGGAAGGCTGTGTGGTGGAAGCAGTCATTTTGCTTCCTCGCTAGCCCAGCAACAGGAACATTTTATTTTTGGCTTCATGCGTTAACATATTAACCATGACAGTGCTGACATCTGTTGCTAAACAAAATTGAGTATAAATGATCCAGAAAACTGCCGTTAAACTCAGAAATTATTTTTGGAGTTTGAAATTAACAACTGTCAACACAACTGATGTTTCCACTTACGCACAAAAATGACAGGAATTTTAATATTTCCCCAAGTTCCACGTGCAAAAGAAAGAAGGAAAATAAAAGTAACGATTTCAAGTGCTCTCAAACTCTATTACAAAAAACCAACCGACCTATATGGTACCATTAGAACTCAAGAACTACCTAACAGGGCTAGATGAGAAACTGTCCTACCATCTACGGAAATGAAGTAGTGCTCCTATTCCACTTCCATCTCCTAGTGCAACCCACAAGGTTGGGCCACACCCAGGACCATCCTTTTCTTCACAGAGGAAATAGTCCTAATTATTTTAATATGGGACTTTATTCACTGAAACCAAAGAGAGCAAAGCCTTTGATATGCAGCACCAGAAAGAATTACAGAATCAAAGAATTGCAAGGGTTGGAAGGGATCTCAAGAGATCATTGAGTCCAACCCCCTGCTAAAGCAGTTCCCTACAACAGGTCACACATGTAGGCATTCAGATGAGCCTTGAGAATCTCTGTAGAAGGAGACTCCACCACCTCTCTGGGCAGCCTGTTGCAGTGCTCTGGCACCCTTATCATGAAGAACTTCTGCACGTTTGTATGGAACTTCCTAAGTTCTGTTTTAGGCCATTACTCCTTGTTCTATTGCTACACACCAAGAGCCTGACCTCATCCATTTGCCTCCCACTTCCCTTTAGATACTTATAAACATTAATCAGATTTTGATCTCAACAGCAAAAATGAGATTTCATTGCATATGACAATGAAAGAGTCTAGAGACCACAAATATTGGAAGACTGCAGAAGAAAGCATTTCTGAAAGAGAAAATAGACTCATTTAAGCTTTTTTAAATACTTTCTTAGACACACTTGAGTCTGAGATAGCACATCAAATTGCCAGTCTGGAACAAGTACAGGAGGAACAAGCAGACCCAGGATGGGCCACACACATCCTTGTTGGACATGGGTCAAGAACCACTTGAAACTCCTGCAATAGTGGGAAAATTGAGTTTGGAATTCATCAGATCTTGACTCCTGTGGTGTCACAATAATTACAATCTTATGCAACTTTTTTTCCCCTATTCATTTTTTCATTTTCTTAAGTGTTCCAATAACATATAATAACTGACAGCAAAATTCTCTGGATAAAATTATTCTCTCCTTTTTTTGCTTGCAGCACAGAGAGTTTAAAGCCTACTGAAGGATTAAAAATTAATCTATTTGCTGTCATGATATCACTCCTCAGGCTTATCTACTTTACTTGGGCAGCAAATGCACTTTTTGTGTCACTGGCCCCACTCCAGCCCAGTATTATTCTGATGTAAAAACTCAGACAAAACCAGAAAAAGAATGTGCTATTGCCAGCTTGTAGACTTCAAAAAAATAAAATACAACAACCTGTCAGGTGCAAATAATGTAAACACACTTACCCTGGAATCCTTTTCCAGATGAAGCTTATGTTGAAGACTTCGTCTCCTTCTGGCCTTGGCAATGCCATTGTGATAGAAATAGTAACCAGTATCTAGAAAAGGGAGCTGAGGAAAAGAGAAAAACAGAGTTATCAGCCTCTAATAAGGATGTCATGGAAAACTTTACCTGTGAGGTGACTCAGGAGTCAACAGAACAAGACTTGTGAGGAGTTGCACCACAATGCCCAAATCACTCTTGAGAACATCACTTCCAAGTTACTTTTGAAGGTGTGCCCAGCAGCATTAAGGCTATTTGCTGCAGTTTTACTGTGTGTAACCTGTATGCACACTTGGTATTATTTTTACCTTAAGCTTAAGGTTATTAGCACTAATATTCTGAAGGGCAAATCTCTTGCTTCCTGAAAAAGATGGAGTAAAAGAACAAAAACTGCAAAATTATTTGAAACTACCACAAACCATCCTCCAACAGTAAGGTGTTACACAAGTACCTTTCCAAGTCATTAGAATGCATCAGAGGCAATGCCATAATTGCCAAATCCTGGGATGAATAATGGCAGCAGGATCCTGTTGTCATAAATGAGACTCCATACCTGTATACAGGTACATGCAGTTCATACATATTGTTTTCCTACTATGACATTATTTCCTGTTTTCTTACATTTATCACAGTATCTGTTGCAGTTCTGCAAATGTATTTTGGAATTTGCATGGAGTAGCACAGGAATGCAAGTTTCTCAAGGAATCCTGAAAGTTTAAAATTACAAAAATGACTGAGATTTAACTTTTTTTTCCCCTCAAAGTCTTCTTTTTATGCTATTTCAAACAGTCTATGTCAATGAAATCAAAACATTCCATTTTTACTTTTAAAATCCCACTGTGTGTGATACGCTAAAGGAACTTCAAGAAAAAAAATCAAAGCATTCCGTTCTGATACAAGGACCTCCTTCTAACTGCAGGTTAAGCAGATTTCATCCAAAACATTGCGGACCCTTGGAGCTGAGTCTCAGCTCTGTCTGGAGAGCTTTTCCAGGCAAATAATATCTTGTATCAGCTTCATACACACATGAAGAACAACACAACTGTATTTGAAGGAGAAACAAGACTACAAAAAAGCTCACAGCAGCAGCCACAGAAGTCCTCCCATCTACCCTCATAGCTATGCCTCTTAAGGCTCCAATTCTGTTCAGTTTTAGCTAATTTTTTAATAAATGGATTCACGTTTCATGTTTTAAAAGTTTAGGTCTGGTAACGTCACAAAATGGATAATAAGATAATTTTATGATGCAGTTTGTCAATAGATCTGGCTTTCAAGAAAATGGCTCTTTCCTCACATAGGATATATAACACCCCAAAGATAAGCAGAAAAAAAAAAAATCTAAGTAGCCAGATCAGTTACACCTTGAATACAACTAGCTGTGCTAACCATTACCATGCATCAGAAGCTGTGGTCCAATTTTCCCTTTAACTTCCTCATAGTGAAATCAAGTGTTTTCCTGTCTCATTATCAAATACTCAAATCCATTCCAGCCAAATATTGATCTTGATGTTCTTCCATTAAGGAAGACTCTCAGCGATATTGGAGATATCTGGAAGGATATTGAAGATACATGACACATACTCATTCATTTTTGGTGTAGGATTAGAACCAACTAGAATGAGGAAACACACCCTGCAGTAAACCTTTATAGTCAGTGTGTTAAAATCCAACCACATGAGAAAGCAATAACAGGATCACATGGAAGCAACCAGATCCACGGACAAAATCACAAGTAATCCTGAAGCACTTAACTGACTATTCTGCTCTTTCCATAGAACATGGCTTGGGTTGGAAGTGACCTCAAAGCACCCCTAGCCAACCCCTGCCATGGGCTGGCTGCCCCCCACCAGCTCAGGCTGCCCAGGGCCCATCCAACCTGTCCTTGGGCACCTCCATGGATGGGGGCAACCACAGCCTCACCACTCTAACAGATATTCCAGTAATCTTCAGGTAACTCAGATGTTTTACACTTTGCAGTTTTTATACTCCTTCAGTGAAGCTGTGGGTGGATAGACAGGAAGGGGGCTAAGCTAGGCAATAACTGAAACGTGACACGATCAAACACCATGAGTTGTGAATAACAACAAAATTAGCAATGTGCAGAAAGAATCTAAACTCTTCAGGAAATCATTAAACTATAGGAAGGCAGGGAGAGTCAGATGCCAGCAAAGCACTTATGATGGTGCATACATTGATGAGGGTTTTTGCAATGAAATCCATGAAGCCACTCAAGTGCTTCATGTTTGACAGACTACTGTGACTCCAAACACCAGGATGCTGGTACCTGACAGCTGGGTTGCTTTTCCTGCCATTAGGTTCTCTGGGAGCTCAGTTCTGCTTAGGAGCTCAGCATGACCACATAAACACTGCATGTAATAATGTGAAATGAAAACCAAAGGGCTCACGTGCACCACAAGCCCTGAAGATCCACTAGTAGTAGCTTACTCTGTAATACGTTCACTGTAAAGCTGGAACTGAATTGGAATAGAATCCTATTTCTGCAGCAGACTGCACAAAATATTTGTGAATTATTCACTCAATCTTGTGGCTCTTTCTGTAAGAAAGAAACAAAGCTTCCTGCCCTCACACAAAAACTAGCAATTATATAAGATCACTAATTACTGGCAAGCACTTGAAAATTAAAGTAAGAAGGATTATTAAGAGCAATAAAAAATAGGCCTAATATTGCCCTCATGTATAAATAAGGCAGACTCTGAGAAACCCAGGAATTATGTAATGTATTAACTTGTATAAAATTACTGGTGAAAAAGACACAAGTAAAAACAGAATCACTAATTGAACACAGCAAGGAGAGCAAGCCCTCATCCATCAATCCGTGCCAACCATTTCTTTAGCTTTGCAACTGCCTTGATGAAGTACTTAACCTCCTTCCAGAAAAGAATGAGGACCAGAAAATTACTTTTGAAATTTCGGTGTTCAACTAAGTGGAGGAAAGAAAATAACTCTTTAAATGGAAGAGGCTTATCTAGAAAGGGAAATGGCTGGGATCTCTGCTTTTATCAGATTACTGCTGCAACAAAGCAGTACAGGTGCAATTAGTACTGAAATAAAAATAAGATAAACTCATGGCCCACAGCCTTCCTGCACTCCCCTCCTTTCATATGCAGTCTTTCCCATGCAGGAAATTTACTTGGTGCTGCTGTCCTAGATGCAGTCTTTGAGAAAAGGGGCTGCAATAGGCAGCTAGGATTCTACCCTGCTTGCATTGCTTCTGGGCTGCTGAACTCTGCTACAGCCTGTCAGCAAACAACTGCTCCTAATGGGGGCTCAGGGGTTGTACCACACAATAGTGAAAGGGGAACAAAAGGCACAGCACACTGCTGAGCCTCCAGAAGCAGTTCTGCTCCAAGAAGGAAAAGCAGTCATAGGGTATCGTCTTCCTCACAGGCACCTGGTGCAGGTCAGGGTAGCAAGCAGCTCTGTTGGAGCGGATGTCCATCCTGCTTTGTCTGCTTGACAGAGAAGGTCCAACTTCATTTCCTTGTCAGTCCTGTGTTAGACAATGCACACGGTGGCATCAAATCTAATTCTGCCTGTCTGAAAGCACAAGACATCAAGATCAGCTGCACAGCAGTGCAGGGGTTTAAAGATAAGAAGCCACAGAAAGACTAAACTCCAGCTGTTTCCCTTATCTAAACCAGTAGCATCTGAGCCACCTCGGAGACACACAACAGTGAAGAAAAAAGGTACAATCTAGCCAGGAGTTTATGTTTGCAACAAATGTATTATAAAGCACCAATAAACACTAACATTAGAAACTCACAAAATATTGAATAAAGCCATCAGTGGGATCACTATTTTACCTCGACAGTGAGGTCCAGTATTCACAACCTGTCTCTAGATTTAAGAAGTAACTGATGCAATGCAAACCCAAAGAGGAGCCTTGCTTCCCAGGCTTATCTTTCCCATAAAACGGCACTGACTTGCTTCAGGGCTCTATTTCCTGTATATCCCACAAGCAAATTATGGCACACACAGGAAGCAAGAACAGACTGAATAGCTCTGTCCTTTTTTAAGGAGTCTTCTCTCTGCCTAGGCTTCACATGCAGCCTGTCCTGCTGCATCCCTTAGCACAGCATCCCTGAAATACTCTGCTGGGTTTTGTGTCTCATCTCCAGCGATTCTCTCCCGATGCCATATTACTCTAAAACATTTAACAACAGATTACTTGGACCTATTGCTATGGCTCCTTTTCCTAGTCTGCAGTGGAGACAACAGTCTGCAACAACTTCTTTAGAGTAAAATAATTAAAAAAGAAAGCATAAGCTGTTGTTTTTTGTTTTTTTTTTTTAAAAACAGTTACCCCAGGGTCACCTTTCTTGATTGCCACTGAAATCAGCATAAATAGATCTGTCAATAAGAGTGACTGAAAATTCTTATCCAGATAAGATGACAAAGACCTTCTTTTGGGCTCCTTGCCTGCACAAATATGGGACTGGTACATGGTTTGTACCCCAAGACTGGTGCTGAAGAAACTTTTGATCTGCTCTGAGGAAAAAAAAATATCTGCCCTCAATTAAAATAAATAAAGCATACTAACACAAAGCATCTCTCCTCAACATAGCCTTAGCACAGCTCCTGCCTTCAAAAGGGGCCATAAATCTCCGCAGGTGAGTTTCCATCCCATTACTGCTCAGTAATTATACAACCCAGACCTGGCACAAGAAAATGTGTTTGGAGCCTTCACGGGCCCCTCAGGCCCTGCTCCTTCAGTTGCCATTATAGCTGAAGCACAACGAAATGCCTCGCAGCAGAAATTAGAAACCTTTTAGAAACCTTTTCATCCCAGCTTCCTCAAACGCACCGAGGATGCTTATAAATATTCAATATGAATTTTTAAAACTCTTTCTCTCATTTTCCCTCACTCTGATTAGCATTAGAAATCGTTTTACTTTTAAATATACAGATGGGAGCCAAATCTGAAGTCAAAGGCACTCACTCACTATAGCGACGAGGACCACATACAAGTAAAGCCAGCTAGAAACTCAGGCAGCTCGAGGCATAGAAATAAAATAGAACAAAGGACAAATAAGAAAGGATTAATTCA